GAGTAGCGAGGGCACACTTCGACGTAGCAGCAGGAAAAGGCGCAAAATCAGCAATTACTCTCGGCTGATTGATATCGGCGCTGCAACGAGCGAGGATGAACGGGTGCTTTGAAATAGGTCTTGCTATCTTCCTCTTCTGTACGATTTTGTGCAACCGCTGCTTGACGAGAATCAAGCCGGCGAGTCGAGAATCATGGGGCCCCGAAGACAGTCTCCCGAAGCCCACAGCTCCGCAGGAATCGATCTGGAAGCAACTGACCGTCCTGGTGTTTTCTTCAAAAATCGTCCTCATTTCCTTCATGCCCGCAGGGCTCCTGGTCTAAGCGTTATCCCTAGCCTTGTGACCTAGGATCCCTCGATTCAGAGGGGAAAGGGGTTCAGTAAGGCTGACATAAAAGAGCAAGAGGAAACAGGAAAGAAGAGAAAATGAACAACTGCAGGAGTCGGGTTCTAGCTAAACGCTGTTCTGTGTGAATTATTATTGACATGATAGATGTACTAGTATCGAATCTTTGATGACAACTTCTAATGATTGATAACTTGAGCAGCCAGCGTAGTCGTAATGTCAGTCGGACTCAACTAGCCGTGACCATACTTGTATTCCCGACCGTCAACGGATTCAATTCTACATTTGAGAGCATGCAAAGCAGGCAAGGATTCAGACTCTATCATGAGTATATTAACCCATCGAAATTCTGTGATAGAGGACGAAATATAGACCTATTTACCGGAGTCGATCTACCAAGTCGAAGACAGCGATCCCAGCTTGCAACACATGTGCTATGAACTGGACTTCATGATGCATCCATGATCAATCTGTAGGATCTCTAGCTAGCTCTGCCAGAGGAATCCTTCTTAACTAGCTGCGACTCTTGCAGCCCCGCCTCGTTTGACCACTTGGCTGAAGCAAGATGTTCCGTGTTCAACTCGTCGAGAGATCGGGTTGCTTCCGATTGCCACAGCTGGCTATTTGTGATACCTGACGCTTGAGAGCAGTCCTCCACAATTATCAGCAGTGACCTTGATAGTCCATGTGTACGGGACGAAGCGAGCTTAGGTTATTAGGACTCCCAAGCCCAACGGAGGCCGCCCGTTGAGACTGAAACCGGCTACGCAGCTTGATTGAAGCTTATCCATTCTTCATCTACCCAACGAAGGAGTCAAGAGCTGGAAGACGTTTTAGATCCTAGTCGCAGAGTCCCGTATATGACACGGACCTGAGACATACGGAGTAATGGTGCCATGGGTCCATGAATGTGATGTATCAACAACGCCAAAGAGATCTCCGCCGTTGGCTCGATCCAATTCTCCGGGTTAGGTATCATTCCAAATTTCCGATATATCTTCGTGGCTCTTGCACTGCGGTATCCCTTGCTTCTTTCGCCAGCAATACTGCGTAGTTCAGGTGCTCTGTACGGAGTAGTCTGTCAAAGCTGCATGGCGCCTGCAGATACTAGATAGATAGAAAGAACACTGAGGAGGAGTGGTCGGTGGCTTAGGTGAAACGACGGATTTGTCAGGATTCGGTAGATCTTCTATTTATATTTTTACGACATAGACTGTGATTCTGGCTTCTGTGCTCTGTGAGATATTTCTGTACCTGGTCCTATCGCCTGGACTTAGCATTGCCACCCCTTAGGGCATGTTGCCAACAGTAACTCCGTAGATTCAGCTGTATTCGATATTCACAATTCAACTTTCAACAATCGACCAAATGGGTGAGTTGAGTTGATCTACGCCTGTTCGCATTTCGGTACGTGCCACAGATCTTGATGTCGGGGTACGACAATCATTCGCATCTCATCAGTGGACTGTCAGTGACGTCCATTGCCCCTTCCTGGCATAAAGTTAATCTGATCCATGTAATTCTGGATGAGGAGTGGGCTCAGTCGATCGTTTTCCCTATTCATCGACTGTCGGTGGAGATGTTCTTCACCTTGTTTCGGAAAAAGTCCAGTGTTTTTTAGAATAAATCCGGGCCAGCACGAACATTGTCGGCATGTTGCTGAGGCATTGAGCTTCTCTGACTCGAACTGAGAAGTCAGTGATGCACATCTTGCCCTTATGGGCAATAGATCTAGTCAATGATCTCTTCACTTCTTTTGGGACTCTTCCAATGGACCTGTCAACTATTGACGGCGATCCGTCATGCCATGCATTGCAACAATTGTATAGTCGATCGTTAGACAGAAAACAAGGCGCACATGCCCAACAATCAAACCAGACTTCATCTTACTGGTTGTGGAAAAAGGATCTTGTGATTCTGTTAGTGTCTGAACTCTGAAGCAGCTCGATTACCGGAGAAGGAAGTCAGCTTAGACTCCGTATGTCCTACTACCTTAGGACTTGCAGTATTCTACTTGGCAGAGTTTCCTCTATTCTGGATAGAGAATAGAACAGGGAAGTCTTCCAATCAGCAGCACTTGGCCCCTGACTACTCAGCCTGGAGGCAAGCCTACCTCATGCTAGAGTGAGGCCTTGGTGAGCGGGAGGGTGATCGGCGTCGATTTCGAATCGACTTCAATCAGGAAATTCAGAATTCAGGACTGATGCAAGCCGAATAATAGTTCAAGCCATGAACCAGTCCCTGGCACGGGGTAGCTCCATAATTAATATCTAGCACTATTATTATTAGGCCCATCGATCGAGTCGGTGCCAGAACCAGTGGAGGATGAAGTCCCAAGCGGGTGGTTTTGCCCCTTAAACTCTCTTGTCCGTGTCACCCTTTTATTGCGGAATTGCTGGTACAACCAATGGCTGTTATTATTGCTCCATGCAGTTTTGTCATGCTTGTTGTCCCCAATCGCCGAGTTGATACCATACAAAGAAAAGTACATTCGAGGAAAGTCATGATCGTGGAGAGACGTCATAAATTCGCAGACAGAAGACTGATTATCGCTGAAGCAGTCCGCGTGGAAAAGCACGTGTCAGCATCAAAAGCGCCCAAATACGTCTCATTGTGACCCGATTCTGAAGGACGATCACGAATCCATTCTCCGACTATTGAATTCTTAGAAAATCTCCTGGAAACTAGAGAAGTACGCGGACGGAAAGCAAAAAGCTATCTTTCCTCACTTCTCAGGTTGATCATCAAACCCTAGTTGCCTGGTTGAGACCAATACTCCGCACTGTAGGACTTATAATAATAATAGTACCCCCTGGGAATCCTAACATGCTCTACTCGACACGGAGTAACCTATCCCTAGTCTAAGGTAGACAAAATTATTATTTCATCTCTGAATGCGGTCCTGGTTCTCCGTACAATTGTTGTGAAATAATCAATTATCTAGCAGGTAATCTCGAGGCACTAACTTCTAACAGACTTTAGTGGATTTTTTTTCAATTAGTTGAACCATGGAGTCCATCCGTCCATCGACACATCGCCGCGTGCCTGTCGATGATTTCCTTTCCTGTCCTTGCTAGCTGACGCTATACCCATTACACGGCCTCTACCAAGGCTTACACAAGTCTCGTTTCAACCAGACATGCCGTCTTCTGTGCATTGTTATTTGATGCGGGTCAGAACCAGCCAGAGGTGATAGTGCTAGCACTGCAATCTGCATAGTAGATATCACACAGGTACTTAGCGCTTGGGCGGTGTTGCTCACCATTGACGTCCCACAGTCCACACAGCCCACTTTTACTATGACAAATTAAACTCGTACGATACTTTTGGCGGATCTCCCTCGACTCCTTTCTCCATCGAGTATCGGATGTGTATTAGCCAATGCGATTAAGATGTTGGCACTCGAACAACCTTTTCCTTCCCATACGTAACCCCTTAGCTGGAAGTGGATGTTCCTCAGGTACTCCCCTCTTCGTCCCCAGATACCAGACGATCAACCAATAGCGCCAACCGAATATCTAGGCTCGCACGGCCAGAAATTGGTGTCTCACTCGACTCCCTGTTCACTTGTTCTTGTGCATCATTGAAAAGCATGAGGGTGACCTCTCGAAGGATATTGCTGCTACGAAGCTGAACTCTGATTCCTTTTCGAAGATCTACTACCCATACTTTACTTCCACTCCCTCTTTATCCTATATCTCCTTTAGAGGTTGCTTAACCACCCGAAATCCGACGAATATCGACAAGGCCGTCCTTGGAAAGCAAAAGAGCAGTATTTCCTGAACGCCTTTGCGATAACAGCCGACGAGGACGACGTACCAGATTTGAGTTGCGACATTTTGATATTACACCTTGACTTCAGTCCCGACCTCGGATTCCCTTGCCTGAACTATAACATCTGCTGGCGTGGTCCGGCAAAAGGAATTGCGTCATGTCTCAGCCGTCATTGTCAATTCCGCTGAGGTCGTCGAGTATGAATGCTCAGACTACAGGAAGGCCAACGAGCAACAGAAGTCAGGAGAACCTGAGATGCGAGAAATCATCGAAAGCCCACAAGATCTTGGGGACGACAGACATTTCATTTCAGGAACACAAAAAAGATGACACAAGGAGAAATGTCCGAGCCAGTTTCATGAGAACATCAGAAAACAAATCGATAAAAGGCGGCACATTCGTCCCTTTTCCGTCGGCCAATCTTGACACAACCCTACCTCCCCAGCACCTTCGCGTCAGAGCATCGTCCCCGCTTTTAGGACAAGAGTATCTGTCTCAAGATGTTAGTCCTCCTCTTCCGCAATCATCGAAGAAAATCCATCAGTTCGGGTCATCGACTCTTTTCTCCTATTTCAGTTTGAGAGAACCCACTGTTGAGCAGAGTTCGTCACATTTGAGCACCGGGGCAGCAACAAGGAGTCGCGAGTCGCAACAGGGTGGTGCCAGCCCGGGCCGAGGATTAAATCTAGATTCAAGAATGAACCTAAGGCAAGCCAAAACACCCGGCAAGGAATCAAAGCGGAAAATGCGGCCACCAAGGATTGACCTTTCTCTATTGTTTCCCAAACCGCGAGAGACTGCCGCACCTCTTTTGTCCCCGCAGCGCCTGACGAGCTCTCCGTCTCCAATTTCGGTGACTTCTGAATATCCTTCCACTCAAATGAAGGGACCGGAACCGCCTACAGTTGCGAAGCGACTTACGAAAACACCACCCACACGAGCGCCTGCCGGTCAGCTAGATACCCTTCAGGAGAACGATAACGTAAAGACAACATCAGCAGATCGAGAGTCAAAGAATATGGATTACTTGGGCACGCCCTTTGAACGAACGGTGAGGACTAGCGAATTCGATATGGCCCTTGACAAGTATTATGACGCCAAAAGTCTCAAGTCAATCAAATCAGCGCAATCCGGGCCATCTGTCTTGAGTTCACAGAGCCCAGGAAATACGCGAGCACCTGGTCCCAAATCCACGGAGAAAGCGTTGCGGAAGATGTCGTCCAGTGGCTCTGTTGGAGGCTGGAGTAAAGAAGCATACTTGTCTCCAAAAACCTGCGCCTTTCCGAGGCCAAACCGCAAATCAAACTCGTCAAACACACGCAAGTCTGCCTCGCGGGAAGACTCGGCCGTCGACAAGGGCTTAATGTCAAAGAAAAGCAGCAAGAGCACATTGAGGAATGTGGATTTAAACAACTCCAGCGTTCTGTGCCTTTCATCCTCGGAAGATGAAAGCGATGGGGATGAGGCGCCAAGCAAGGGCATAGGCGAACCTCACAATCTTACGGCAAGAGACAGCATCGTCACATTTGAAGACGAGTTTGACGCAGAGATCTGTATGGCCTCCGCCGCGCAAGCCACACGGGCCTCGACATTACGTCGAGTGGACATATCCAACCTGTCCAGCAAGGGTAGCTCACAGATCCTCCCGAACAACTCATCTATGCATCGAAACCCATCAATGTCTTCGGCGGGCATATTATCTTCTGCGACAAAGAAAAACCGATCTCGTCGGTCAAGCGGCATACCTACCATCTCCGAGCCTGATAATGATGATATCTTCAGCCAGTTCAGGAATCCGCCACTATCTCAAAAGGAACGCGATAGGAGAAGTCGAGTGATGGCAGTGACAAGACAGGAAGAACATCTTCTCGAGGCGATGAGACAGCGGAAAGGGAAGATCACACCAAGCATATTTCAGCAGGCACAGTATAACACCAGCCTCGAGCCTGACCAGGGTTCAATGCTTTCCTCGCCTTCCCGTGACTCTTTCTACGGCTCGCACACCTTCTTGCGATTAAGTCCGGGGCTGCCACCTCAGCGTCCGTCACGGGCAGATCAAGGTGCAACCTGTGCTTCTGATGCTGAACAGAAAACGATCAACTCAGGTCGCACAAGCGTAGCGTACTCTGAAAGCCTACCATCTCCCGCTACCAGCGGGGCATCACCGCTGACCCCGACACTGCCTATACACCGATTCTCACCCCTTCCATCACAGAAACCGCCCCCACGTCGTCCTCCTCCGGCTGTGCCTCACGCTCAGAGAAGGCACTCCAGAAGACGCACAGATAGCAGCGAGGCGATTGCCTTAGACGCAGCTGAAGAGTCGGGAGAGGGTAATGAATTTCCAATTTGGGCACTTGACTGGAACCAAGCCAGTCGCAGTTTAGCTGCTGTACACTAGATAGGTGGTGACATTGACCTATCACTCTGGTTGATTTTCTTTCCCTTATCTCTAATCTCGCACATCTGGAGCTGCCACTCACTTATGATCTCTCGTTACTTTGTTCTTGTTTTTATCATGTTCTTCCGCGTCATTCCCTCCACATCAGGCGGATCATCTCTTATGTCAGAGCATTGTCGATGCTCCACCGCAAGTTTGCAACATATACCACATGACTTTAGTATATTTCTTTAAATCTGACAATCCCTTGCATGCAAGGCATATCATCTCATCATTCTACTGCAATGCTCTATAAAAGGAAGGCAAATGACAAGACTGCATTGAAATAGGCTGGTTTAGTGACTTCCTTACTTCGGATCCAGACAATTTCGCAATCTAAATGACTACTCTGTGTACAAAGCCAATTGCATATCACCCAAGGCTCCAAGTCAAGCAAGTCAAGCAAATGCATTCACTGGTGGGGAACTCGTTCCAGTATGCAAATTAAACAGGGTCAGTGTGTAGGATTTCTGTTTGTTAAGGATAATGTCGCGACGCCCACGATTCAGGCTGTGTACTGCTAGGGTGATGTGGCTTGCCAACCTGCGGCGATGGAGCGCCTTGGATCTTCAGCAAGTCAGACTAAAGCTGGAGGCGAGGAGGATCGTCCCATTGTGAGACGAGACTGGGCTCTGACGTCAGACCCTTAGGCCAAGCCAAAGGACTACGAAGTAACAAGTTAACGGGTAACAACTAGGTAATAATAATGGCTTTTCATGTAGTTGATCAAGGATGTTAACTGATTCATTGGCCTATTTTTCTTTTTGTGGCTCGCCCAAAAACTGGCGAGCTGGTGGACTGCGGATCATCAGTATTTGTTACTGGCGATTGGCGGACAAGGGGAGTCAAGACCAAGGCTCAAGAGTTGAGCAACCAAAGCGAGAATTAGAATCAGTATTATTACCCTAGACTTAGACCGCCCCTAGCTGGTAATTTGTGGTACCCCAGAATCCACACCGAATCACTGATCGTCTGTATCTTGGAAGGTACTCGTCGCAGTGGAGGACTCTATTTATGCTGACAACCGCTTGCTGGCCAGGCCATTTTCATTCTTGGTCTTCGCTTTTTATCTACGCTATCTGACGTCGTCGTTATCATTCCATCCGGCGGCCTTGTGCAATATCACCCCCGGTTTTTCGTCTAAATACGCGCTCCGAGGGGCTTTTGTCTAGCACGCTGGGGACAAACGCCGCTTTTTGTCCTCTCTCAGCGGCAGTTTGCTGGCGGACTGCAAGGCCTAGTGTGAAGAACCGTGAAAGCTTTCCCCTTCCCTGTCCATCGGCACGCGCACAACTTATTTCGCGACCCTCGGCATTTTCTTAACGTCCCTTTCCCCCGAATCAGAATCACAGGCTAAAATCAGCAACAACCTACATCTTCCCGTGGGTTGCGTTGCGAACACTTCTCAGGGGCTGGCACCTACGATAGTGTTGTCACAATGGGGGAACACACTCGGGGCCAGTCTTCAGGGCTGGAAGGCGTTTTGAGACGTTCCTCTTGGATACTGGTTAGTCTTCCTTGAGGCATTTTTGGTTGTTCTTTTTGAACTTCGCCGAGTCAGAACTTGGGGGTTTAAGTTTCTATTTACTGACTTCTCCTTTGTAGCTGACGGTCCAATATACGGCGTTCGTACTGGTAAGTTTTTCTTCGACTTGGAGCAAGAGTGACACTCAGCTAAACTCCATTCTATAACAGCTTTTGCATTATTCCCGAGTCATGCCTCCCACTGGAGGTAAACGATACCTCACGTCTACCGCAGTCTTTCTCAACGAAGTCACCAAGCTTGCGATTTCCTTGACGGTGGCCCTCTACGAAGTTTCGAGATCAGTTCCCCCATCGATGCCTGCGACGTCGCTCCTCTCTTCGTTGACCGGTACTGTGTTCTCCGGTGACAGTTGGAAACTTGCCATTCCTGCCAGCTTATACACACTCGCGAACTCTTTGCAATATATTGCACTTTCCAACCTGCAGGCCGCGAACTTCCAGGTGACGTACCAGTTGAAGCTCCTCGTCGGCTCCATTTTTGGCCTTGTTCTCCTGAAGAGAGCTATACCGTTGCGTAAATGGGGTTTCCTGATTCTTCTTCTCGTCGGCGTCTATCTTGTGCAAATGCCAGACGGAGCCACCGATGAAATCTCACTTGATCACGAGGCCGTGCATCACTCTTTCCCCCGCTCATTAGAAGAATGGAAAGCTGTTAGAGGAAAACGCGCCAATTTGCACAAGCGTTCAGCAACCTACGAGGGCATTGAAGAGGACCTATTGACCGCCATGCCGCGATTGAACAGCACAGTTGGTCTGCTGGCCACGATTGGGGCCTGCGTCGCTTCGGGGCTCGCCGGGGTGTACTTTGAGAAAGTACTAAAAGACAGCGTAAAAACCACCTCTCTGTGGGTGCGTAATGTGCAGTTGTCAGTGTATTCTTTGTTCCCAGCCCTCTTCATCGGTGTCGTCTTCCTCGACGGGGAAAAGGTCGCCGCAAACGGCTTCTTTGAGGGCTATAATTGGGTTGTTTGGTCCACTATCGTGGTCCAGGCTATTGGGGGCATCGCAACCTCTTTCTGTATCAGCCACGCATACAAGGACGCAAGAAACGTGGCCACTGCTATTAGCATTGTCCTCAGCACTTTGGGGAGTGTGTGGTTGTTTGGTTTCGAACTCACAGGGAACGTATGTATCTCACTCGATCACGAACTTCTGCGCATGGTTACTGACGTCTGACTCCTTCAGTTCATCCTTGGGACTTTCGCGGTGCTTGTGGCCACATTCCTCTATGAGGATTCTAGCTTAGATTCCAGTCCTACTAAAGCTCACGGCATCCGTCCACCGCCAATTCGGATCGAGCGGTTTGAGAAGGAAGCCAAGAGTGATGAGACTTCACCTGTCGCAGGTCCACAGAACGAATTCTCGATAAAGCTCCCGAGCACCCCATTCCTGTCTCAAGCTGGGTTGTCCACCTCCAGACCCACGTCGCCAGGCGTTGCTAGAATCAGCTCTGGCCGCACTGCAAGCGGCGGCTATTTCGATAAGCAGTCACGGGACGAGTGAGCCTACCGACTTCCAAACAAAACCCGCATTCACCTTGTCAATATATAGCGTTGCTCCGGTATCCGTGATATCGAGAAGTAAATAAGAATGTCCGACTCCGAGTCATTGCATTTTTTTTGGAGGAAAGCGTAGCAAGTCCTTGTACTCTATACCTTTTGTGACCATGGTTTGATTTTGGTTGTTTAGTGTGATGGTTATTATATCTTCATATAGCGTGAGTCATGGGAGATGTCCTGATGTGTATGATTGTATAAGGTTGAATGAATGGATATGAACGAACTTGATGTCGAGCTTCTCGTCCCAAGGATATTTAACAGCACTTGATTCAATGATTGTCTTGTCACTCCTCTGCATCGAGTTCTCCCACGTGCTCTTCTCGCCTGGGGCATCTATACCCATCCGCCTGGCCCCCTCCTCATTTCGGGGCTTGCTGCTGTTCCACTGAATCTCTTGCACTCATCTTCTCCGTTTAAAGCTTCTTGAAGCTGGACACTGTCTGTCCCTTGTCGATCATCATGGGGCGCAAATCTCACCAGCCCTTCTCGATAGCACGGCATAGTGCTTCCAACCAAAGGCCGATGGGTGCAAGGCGGCCCCAACTTGGGCTGCCGGCATCAAAAGCAATCATCGATCAAAGACTTATCGAAGGCTCTCAGATCTCTCAACCTTGGAACAGACCTCGAGGATATGAATCTCAGAATGTCGAGCCCCATAGCCAGCTTGTTGGTCCGGATTTGCAATCCTTCCGTAGCGATGATCATCAGCTGGACGCCTTTGGTGAGTGGTTCGGAGTGCGACGAGTTCGATACATTGGTGTCGTGAATTGAGTTGACTGAAAGACTTCAGACCTCGAACTGCTTGCCCAGGCAGATGAGAGCAACCGGAATCCACTGAGGCAACCGGCTAACTTAAACTATCCATCGGTGCAGCCTAGAAATGATGGTGCGAAGCAGGTATCTCGATTTTTCCAGAGTACGCTCATGCCTCGCCTACCCTGGATAAAAGGCTAATGAACGCAGCGAGCTCCCACATAACGCCGCTCCGAAGTTTGGATTCTAGCTCATCGGATGTAGGTCTGGGGTCGCCTTCTAGTCCGCTCAGTCGATTGCAGCTCGGAAAGACGATTGTGACACGTCGGGAGCAAGAGTATCAAGCCACGGGGCCTTCGAGACAGTACAACGAAGATCAACTATCGCATGAGGAAGATTCGCCATCGCACGGAACTTCTACACTATCGATTGGTACAGCACAATGTCAAAAGAGCCACTTCGAAAACATCCCCATGTCAGTTAGAGGAATTGTCCTTGTCTCAGTACACGAGCTTCCGGATAGCTACAGGTCCATCTTTCATTTCCCGGTATTCAATGCTGTACAGTCGAAATGTTTCCAGCGTGTCTACAAGACCGACGACAATATTGTGCTGGCAGCTCCTACTGGAAGTGGTAAGACAGTCATTATGGAATTGGCAATCTGTCGCCTGCTCAGTACTTTAAAGGATGAGCGCTTCAAGGTCGTCTATCAGGCGCCGACCAAGTCTCTGTGCTCCGAGAGATTTCGGGACTGGAACAGGAAGTTCATGTCGTTGGGACTCCAGTGTGCGGAGCTAACTGGCGACACTGATCATACGCAGCTCAGGAGTGTTCAGAACAGTCAGATCATCGTTACTACACCGGAAAAGTGGGACAGCATGACTCGGAAGTGGAAAGATCATGCGCGCTTGATGCAATTGGTCAAGCTCTTCCTGATTGACGAGATTCACATTCTCAAGGAGGCTCGTGGTGCGACGCTTGAAGCGGTTGTGTCGAGAATGAAGACATTCGGGTCGAATGTTCGCTTCGTCGCTCTGAGTGCTACGGTCCCAAACTCGGAGGATATTGCGAGCTGGCTCGGGAAAGACGCAACGAATCAACATGTACCGGCGCACCGAGAGCACTTTGGGGAGGATTTTCGTCCCGTCAAACTCCAGAAGTTTGTGTACGGTTATCAGTCGCACAGCAATGATTTTGCCTTCGACAAGTTATGCAGTTCGAAGTAAGCACGCAAATTTTGTTCTGTCGCGGATGTTTACTGAGGTCCATAGGCTCCCCGATATTCTAGGTACGCACTCATGTAGGAAGCCAATCATGATTTTCTGTTGTACTAGGAATTCGTGCGTCGCTACCGCAAAAGAGCTTGCTCGTCTATGGTCCATGACCAACCCTCCGGCAAGGTTATGGAAAGTATCTGGGAAGCATCTCGAAGCGCACAATGCAGACCTCAGAAGTATGCACTGATCTCGAATTCATGGCTACGGAGCTAACTGGACGGCACAGCCACGCTGATGGCAGGAGTCGCATTTCATCATGCCGGTCTCGACCCTGCTGATCGCCACACCGTTGAGTCTGGGTACCTGCAGGGACATGTCGCCGTCATTTGCTGTACCTCAACCCTGGCAGTGGGGGTCAATCTCCCATGCCACCTTGTCATAATCAAAGGTACAGTAGGTTGGCAGGATGGTGGCTGCAAGGAATACTCCGATCTCGAAATGATGCAGATGCTTGGCCGAGCTGGTCGACCTCAATTCGACGACAGCGCTATTGCAGTGATTATGACGAGAAAGGACCGAGTTCAACATTACGAGAAACTCGTATCTGGATGTGAGACCCTTGAGAGCTGTTTGCACCTCAACCTGATCGACCACTTGAACGCCGAGATTGGGCTAGGTACTGTCACCGATGTCGATTCCGCGGTCAGATGGCTGGCGGGTACTTTCCTGTTTGTCAGGCTGAGAAGAAATCCAAAGCACTATCAGCTGAAGGAAGGGGCCACAAAGGATGATGAAGACGAAATGCTTAGGCAGATTTGCGAAAAGGACATCAGACTTCTGCAAGAGACTGGACTAGTGGCTTCTGACCGTCTCAAGTCCACACCCTTCGGAGATGCCATGGCTCGGTACTATGTACGGTTCGATACCATGAAGACTTTACTCGCGCTGAAATCTCACGCAACTGTATCTCAAGTGGTAGGTCAGCCCGTCCTCTGTTCGACGATAGGAGAAACTCTAATGGCTTTATTCAGCTTTCTGCAATTGCGGAGGCGGAAGAATTCCGTGAGATACGGCTGAAGGCAGGCGAGAAGTCACTGTATAAAGAACTGAACCGTGCCAATGGCATAAGGTTCCCAGCGAAAGTTGATATAGCGCTTCCAGCTCATAAGATCCTATTGCTCATCCAGTCAGAGCTCGGTGGGGTCGAGTATCCGGACGGCGAACAATATCAGAAACACAAGTTTGCTTTTCAACAAGACAAGAACTTCGTGTTCTCTCATATCAATAGACTAATTCGATGCGTGATAGATTGCCAAATCTCCCTTGAAGACTCAATCACCGCTCGAAATGCCCTCGAGCTCGCACGAAGCTTTGGGGCCAAGGTTTGGGATAACTGTCCTCTGCAGATGAAGCAAATCGACCAAGTCGGTATTGTGGCAGTGCGAAAACTTGCGGCAGCTGGGATTACCAGCATCGATGCCCTGGAAGCTACAGAGCCCCATCGCATTGATATGATCATGAGTAGGAATCCGCCGTTCGGGATGAAACTACTTGCTCGTGTTGCCGACTTTCCTAAGCTTAGAGTGAATGTCAAATTGGTAGGAAAGGTATGTGTCTCTGTTCTCTTCGCGAGAGGGTCTCGCTGATGGCTTATTAGGAAATTAAACCCGGAAAACCTGTAAGAATACGATTCGAGGCTGAAATTGCGTTCATGAATGAGAAAACCCCGACGTTCTTCCAACGGCGACCTGTGTATGTCTGCTTCTTAGCAGAGACCTCCGACGGCCATCTGATAGATTTTCGGCGTATCAGGTATGACTGGTCGGCCCTCAAAATCGCACTGTCGAGCTGACGGCCGTACAGTGCAAGTAAACTTCAGCAGAGTCAGGAGATATCTCTAGATGCAGAGCTGAAAAGGCCAGGGCTACATATAACGTGCTATGCGATGTGTGACGAGATCGGTATGTCAAACTTTAGCCTTAACCGCTGCCTCTTGCCATTTCGCTCAATCTCAATAGCCGGTACTTTGAGGTCTGCAGAGTTGAAGCCTGAGCTGCCAAATGTCTCTTTCCCATCTCGGCCAAGTCAAGCCTTGGAGTCGATGCAGCGGCCTAGGGTGAATGTTCCAAGTCGCGATACCGACGACACTCCGATCAACGCAAACGATCGAGGAGCAGACGATATCGAAAATGATGATTGGCTCTTTGATGACTTGATGGAGACAGGTATGCCACCACTCGACCTGCTGTAGATACAGACTAAACAATATTGAGCAGACGAGGCAAGCAACTGGGCTGGCGTCAACCAGTCAACCGGCACATCCCGCAGTCGAACTGAGGAGAAAGGCTCGAAAGAATGCAACTCTGAGAATTCACTTCCTGGAAATGACAAAGAGCCGCCTCGACTAGACAATGGCAGATATGCATGTAACCACAGGTGCAAGGACAAGACAACGTAGGTACCATCCGATTGCTATCCATCCCAAACGGAGCTGAACCGTGCATAGATGCAAGCATCTCTGCTGCCGAGAAGGCCTCGAGAAGCCGCACAAAGTCACTCGGAAGCAGTCTACTAACGGCAATCAGGCGAAGAGTGGGCTTAACCAGCTGACACTCTCAGCCAGCATTCCTAGAACAAAGGCTGGGAGGACCTCGACGATTGAGGCTCGGGATAAGGGTAGTGGCAAGACACACACAAAGGACGTGGAATCCACGGGCATCAACTCAGATATCACTGATATCGGGGACATTTTCCACCTCAGCTTCACCAGTCATGTCTCCAAGCCTCAATGCTCTTCAAGTGACTATGGTGATGATAGCTTTGACGACTTGCCGTCGCCATCAAAGCTGCTGGTGGGCTTTAGTACGGGCACAACGACTCAAGTAAACGAGAAGACCGAAACAAATGCCAGTGAGTGCGATGATATAACCGAGGCAGATGATACTTGGACCGATGTCGATGATTTGTTCACGTATACAGTTCAACCTTCTTCCACTGACTCGCCAGACCAAGTCAAAATCCACACTGCCACATCAGCCACGAGAAAGCAAGATCAGACATTAGTGCCACCGGATAATCCCATGTTTGGACGAAGTGTAGTCTCAAACGAGAACGATATTCCAAGGGCTTCTGAGACCGACGTCGACAAAGGGCTCGACCCATCTCGAGTCTCAGATGAGCACCGCGGACGAAAGAGGGGCCTCTCATGGCTGTGTGAGAGAGCCCACTCCGATGAAAGAATGGAGAAAAGAACGAAGCACGACGAGCCTGGTCAGATTCCTCGCGGTCAAGTTGAGACTGCTTTAGAGATAAACGCCAGCGTTCAGGGATCCGCAAATCCACCAGAGGTGCCAAAGGATTGGGATGACATCGACCCTGCTCTGCTGCATCAATTCAAAGACATCGTCAATTTTTTCTAGACGGTAATACAAAGGAGAGGCAAACGTCATACAAGCGTGGAAGACATGATATATGGAATTTGAGACTCTGATGAGATTTGATTTGTGGTGTTGTTTGTCGAAGTTCAAGGGCAAGTTACGAGGATGGACTCGCATATCTGTATGCCATGTATGAGACTGTAGCAGATTCATAACGTCTTTATTAGATATTCTAACAAAGGAGTCAAAGGGATTTTGTTCTCATCTGCTACTATCCTGTTTTATGCCTTTCACTATCTACTACTGTTGTAGAGAAGGCCAGCGAAAGCAACAGACAGTAAAAGACAGCACAACAGTGAATGGTGTCGCTAGAGTACATGGCAACCTCCGTGAATTTCAACGCCTAGCGCGTCCTGGAGGCAGGGTATCCCACTAGATGACTTGAGATGTAAACATTCAGAGAGAAAACAACCTACCTATGTTCTTTTCTCTCTCTCATTCTCCTTTGTCTGTCATCTCACACAACCACTTCTCTGAATCCATCAAAGAAGACAAGTTAGGTATACAAGCCTTCCCATTCCCAAGAGCAGTCCTGTTATCATCTTATGGTGTGTTATTCACATCGCAGTCTCTGATCTCGCGAGTTAACTGCTGCCTCTTACCTCTCTAGACATCTTTCTCGCGAGATTCCCTGAGTGTGTTAGCATTGCACTTCAACCATCTCAATACTCCCTGTCCATCAAGGTAAGTGCAGTTCTTCCATATCCCTCTCCATGCATATCAATCGCGCCTTAGGCTTCTGGGAGTTCCTCACAGTGCCTAACTGTCAAGCTTCGACACTTTCTTGACCCGAGAACAAGGACTGACGCTTGGTTTTTAACAGGACAAACGTCGATCTGACGACTGCCCAAGATGGGTAAGTTGAACTACTCAGCTGTAAGTTGTCCCCTTTCCAAGATGACCTTCGCTATGAATGCAGAGTAACGCCGCGACGACAGAGGAAAATCACGGGCCTTAAGGCAGGACAAGTTGTGTCCAAGGATTTGGTAAGTTTCTTCTGTATACCTGAATATCCAGAGGCACATATTGACACTTGTCGCCTCACAGAAAAAGAGAATCACTCCCGGGGTTGGCGCGAAAGCTGCAGCAAGAGATCCGAATGTGGAAATTGATGTTTCGGGCAAGGAACTCACTGATGAAGGCTTTGCCGAATTCATTGATGACCTGACCGCTTGCATGAAGTACCGCGATGAGGAGCACCCTGAGGGCTCTGCCAAGGTGACCGAGTTGCATTTGCAGGGCAACCAGCTCACGATCGTATCGCTCCGGAAGCTATCTGAAGTTATCAAGCTTAGTATTGCTGATCTTCGAGAATTGGACATCTCCCATAACAACTTTGTGGTTTGCACCCCCGAAGAGCAGGAGATATGGTACCACTTTCTTGACTCGTTCAAGAACTGTTTCTTGCTCAAGAAATTCGATCTCGGAAACAATCCACTTGGACCGAAGGGCATCGAGGTCCTGGCGCGTGTTTACATGCAGAGTGACCTAGACTTTCTGGAATCCGATGCCGATGCGGTCGTTGGGATGAACGGCCAGGAAGACCACGAAGGCGACGCCATCGCAGACGAACTGGAAAATCTCAAGATCAATGGCAAGGACAACGAAGCTACCAAGAAGGTGTCCTCGAAGCAATCGCCCAAGAAGAGCAAGGTTGCACAGCAGAATGGTAAGTCAAGCATTCAGTCATCTTAAGGAGCTTACACTGATGATATGCTCTTTTAGGTTCTTCTCACCCTACTTGCGCCACGAAGAAGCTGACCTATGCAGAGCTGAAGCGATATGCCTGCACTCGAGGCCTGCGCTCGGTCCCGTTCCTTATCATTTCCAACACCAACTTGACCAGCAGTTGCGCTGTGCACCTGTCAAGCATGTTGAGCATGCACCGCAGTCCTGAGCAGCTCTTGGCTTTTCTACCCAGTGGCAAAGGTCCCATCCTGCCAGAAGCAGCAGAGCAATGCAAGGGCATCATATGGCTCCCGAATGACGGCCTTGGTCCGAATGAATGCAAGCTCCTCGACAAAGCTGAGTTAATGCGCGAGTACAAGTCTACCGACGACACTGCAAACGACGAGCTTAGTGGGGACGATGACCAGAATGCGGCACAGCGCAAGCTGCAGAAGAAGCTGGACATCGAGCACGCCAGACTCGCCAAGAGAGTGTGTATTGAGGCTTTAAAGAAAGAGGGAGTACACAGCAACGATATCTGGAGAGTCGCGTTGAAGATGATGACTGTCTCCCGCGCTTTGCTTCTAAACGACAAAGATCGCGCCGTCGAAGCTCCCTCTGAGGAGGAGCCTTCAGGCGTAGAGGAGACTGACGAGACGGTCGAAGAAGAAGAAGAAGAAGAAGAAGAAGAAGAAGAAGAAGAAGAAGAAGAAACCGTGGAGCAGAGTCCAGAATACGTCTTCGACGAATATGAACTCTTCGAACCTATCGCTGTCGGACCCTTCCATCCCGGTGCAAAGCACTTTGAGGTCAACTTTCCCTCTTTGCAGCAAGTTCAGCAGACTCAACAAACCAACGGCCATGACAAAGACGTCCAGTCTCGAGAGACAAAGGAATCCACGCCGCCGAGCCAGCAAACCCGTTCAGGAAAGGGTAAAAGCCATCCTAGTTCGGTCGCTCGCAGCTCTCGTAAGCGAGAATGGCGTTTCGGACTGCCCTTTGCATTCTGGCGTCAGATAATCGCGGATGCTGTCGGCGCTGACGGTATTCTCAGTAACCAGCAGCAAGTCCGCATCATGACTTACGCTGCCGATTGGAATGCTGTGAGCTATGAGCTGACCATCAAAGGGGCGGAAGATCATCAGCAGATTTGGAAGTTCCTTGAGACTGTCAAATGCATCACCTACAGCTCTTTGACTTGAGAGCGTGATGTATCAGCCGCCCTTGAAGACCAAGAGAATCGTTCACATTTAAGTACAAAGCGACGTCCTTCTTTCGAGACATGGACTCACTTGTCAAAAAAAGATAAAAATCACGGAAAAGACAGAAAAAAAGAATTCAACTTTTGGGATTTATCAGGTTTCATGCTTTTATGATGAATCTTCTTCGGGTTTAGCTGGACTTTTCAGGCTTCAGGAAAGCAGAATGAAATAAGTTCTTGTATGTAGAGGCTGATTGAATTCACTGAACCTCCGATACACTGATCTTTTGTCTCTGTAGTCGATATAATTCAAATTCATCAACCGTAAGTAGGGACGAGTAGAAGGAGATGGAGGATCCATTGCTATCGGTTGTAGGCACGTGAAGATGACTCCGTGGTATCTTGATCTCCCCGGACCACGGATCGGACAGCAATTGAGTTACTCGGACCAGAAGCAATAGAAAAGCCGAATTCAACAAATTCTTTCCTGTCTGCATTCTGCGCATCGCATACCAACAATATGATGAAAAACAAGAGAACAAACACTCAACCGCTTGAAGACGCATCTACAGCGCCCGCGACCTTCAATGACGGTCTTCCTCTACCAAAATTAATCGCATTTGACCTGGACTATACACTATGGCCGTTCTGGGTTGATACGCACGTCAGCGCACCCATCAAGCCTCGCGATAACAATTCTCGATGCGTTGACAAGTATGTACCTGAATCAAGCATTGGTGTCCCTCTCCATATCCTCTTACTGACTCGGGAACCTCGCCACAGATGGAACGAATCATTCGCATTCTACCCTGCCGTCTCGTCAATTGTGTACTCCTGCAAGACTCGCTCGATTCCCCTTGCGATAGCTTCTCGCACCCATGCTCCTGAGTTAGCTCGCGATATGCTGAAGGCGCTCCATATTATCCCGACATTCTCGGACAATCCTGCGGCCAAAACGAAGTCAGTCCGCGCTCTGGATTACTTTGACTATGTCCAAATCTTCCCTGCCACCAAAACACAACACTTTGCGAAAATCCAGCAAGCCAGCGGAATTGCTTACGAGGATATGTTGTTCTTTGATGATGAGGCACGCAACAGGAACGTCGAGACCGAATTAGGGGTCACCTTCTGTTTGGTTAGAGATGGTATGACCAAGGAGGAGGTCGATCGCGGGGTCTGGGCTTGGAGAAAGAGAAATGGGATCAAGCCAGGGGCGCAGAAGCAGGGTCACGAAGACGCTTAAAGCCAATAAGACGGTATGAACATTGTGTATATATTCGGTTTTATATTGGGAATGGCGTTGGATTTGGATGCATTGCACGGCACCGCTAGAATTTAGTTTCAAGATACCCAGAGGGGACAAGATCGCATACTAGGTCAACGATTGTTATTTAAACCATCTGTCTGGAATCGTCTTTATTGAAAATAGAACCTTAGATCATCTACCAAATGACTCTTACCTGCGGTAGCTGAAAGAAGACCCATGGCGCAACAGCAATAGGGCGGAGAAGACACGGAACTCTCCCAAACTCCGTAAAAGGATATCAAATACCATCACATCAACAATAACCACAGCAAGAAACGCTCTCTACAAAAGTCACACAGCACATCTGGAACAGCCGGTCTTCATGAAAAATGGACCCCAGAACTAGCCAAGCAAGACCCGACACACACCTCAAACCCCCAAATCCACGCCAACGCGCCTCCCCCTCATCGTCAACATCTCCATCCCCAACACCCCGAGCCCCCGTCGCCGCCCACAACACAGCTACAGTCGCCGAATCCGTAACATTCCAAGGGACACACCCTATCTCGGTCGGCGCAGGGACAGTCATTCATCCACGCGCCCGCATCTATTCCTACGACGGGCCCGTCATCATCGGCGAAGGCTGCATAATCAGCGAAAAGAGCACAATCGGCATCCCGCCGAGCACACCACCTTCTCTCCCGCCCACGCCGAAAGAAGTGGTTCCAACACGGATATCGAATGGAGTGACGATCGGCCCGCTCGTGACCGTCTTCCCAGGCGCGCACATCCACTCCTTCGTTACGGTCGAGTCGCTAGCCATCATTAACCGGCGTGTGTCTCTGGGTGCGCATTCAAAGGTCTGCTCGGGCTGTGAGGTTGCGGCGAACACGGTAATAAAGGATTGGATTGTGGTTTGGGGCTCGGGGGCTGGGTCCTGTCAAAGGAGGAAGCGGGCTACGGGGAAGATGAGCTCGTCTGTTGCGGCTGGGCAGGACGTATCGGCGCTGGACGCCAAGGTGGTTGAGGATGCGCGGTTGATAGTATTACAGAAGGAGAGGGAGGTAGTGGCCAGGCTCATTGGATCGTCTGCATCTGCTGGGGGCAGGAGGAAGTGATCCTCCTCGTGCGAGAATTGATATGCGGCTCCGTTGATAAGTGTTTCCTTCGTCCGATTGTCTTGGACATGGCGTCGAGTCTATTGCTCGAAGGAGAGAGACATATGAAGCGGCAATTCTGAACAAACAAGTATATTGGACTTGAGCGAAATTACTGCACATACCATGCTATGAGCGCCAAGGGTGCATTACGATGATATATGATCCTGTCTTTATGTTTGTTATATACCCCAGATCATACACATGAGATGCACACCCACAATAATTAATAAGGAGGCTGAAGAATTATGTGATGTAAATATTCTATGATTACCGTACAGACCCAAAAGAGGCACCGAAGACAAAGGAAATGGCTTATTTTTGGCTGCCTCATGCCTTGCTGAACCAGAATATAGGCATTGGAATATTCATAAATGCTGTAAACCACAATCAGATCCTCGAGTAAAGGTACATGCACGTCAAAAGGAAACAACAAAAACCGGAGTCTATGTCGATAGAGGGCTCAAGAGCCCCTGGCATGGCCACCTCCTCTCATTCTCTTCCCTCCACTGGCCCCGGCCTCGTTTCCAGCCTCACCGCCGTCCTCTCTTGCCCGCTTGCTCCCTTGAGGGACAAACTGGCGAGCTTGAACATTGAGTCCGCCGCGCCCTCCTCCAGGACTGGACGGATTTTGCCCTTGAGGCGCATTGCCGGCCTGGACGTTCTGATGACCACCTCGGCCAGCTCCTCCACGACCACCACGGCCACGTTGGAGACCAGTGCCACGCTGACTTTGTTGGGTTTGAGCCTGCTGTTGCTGCGGTTGTTGTTGATCAGTAGGCTGTGGGCCGAATGGATTCTGTTGATGAGAGCTGCCGCGCGCTCCACCTCGGCCACCTCTAGCGACTGGAAGCCCTGATTGAAGCGCCCTCAAAACACCCCCAGCAGGAGGCTTACTGGGTAGTGAAGAGGGTTGCTGCTTATTCTGAGATTGGGCCACTGCGTTTGCGGGTTGATTCGATGCCGGCTTTTGCGCAGGACCGGCTTCTTGTTGCGGCTGTTGTGCTTGCGCATCGGCTTGCGGCTGAGCTTCAGCGGGCACAGAGCCGGTAGGGGGAGCAGCGGTCGTTTGCTGAGCGGCAGCGGGAGCAGCAGCTTGTTGGTCTTGGTTTTCGGCTGTTGCAGTAGGTGCCGCGACTGCAGAAGGTGGCGGCACTGTAGCGACTTGCGCTGGAGCAGGGGCAACAGTCGGTGCGGCCGGTGCAGATGGTGCAGATGGTGCAGATGGTGCAGATGGTGCAGATGGTGCAGTGGCTGCTGGCTTGGCTCCTTGTGCCTGAACCGGCGGAGCCTTCGTGGTCTTCGCCACCTCCCATACCTCAACGACGGGCTTTTGAGGAGTTTCGGCAGCCGCCCTTGCGATGACATCAAGTTTGGCCTGTGCAGTTCTCAACCGAGTATCAAGCATGCTGATACGGACAAGGGTCTTCTTGTCAGATAACTCAACGGCAGATTTGACCTTTTCATCCGTACTCTCCTCATATGCCTTTTTGAGGGCTTCCTTCTCTTCATTAAACTTCTTCTCCAACTCTGCACATTCTTGCTTAAGCTTTTCTGTTTCTTTGGCGACCTTTGCCCGAATATTGTTGCGGACGATCGTTTGGATAGTTTCGTTCTTCGCAACCAAGGCTCTCGCCTGGACATCGGTGAGCTCTGGTAGGTCACCGTCCTGCTGTGAGGGGGTTGCGGGAGTCTGTTCAGGTTTCGAGATAGGCGTTCCAGGCTCTTGCGGTGCAACCTGTTGATTGGCCGACAATCTTTCAACCTCTTGCCGATGAGCCGCTCTCACTTCCGCCATCTTCTTATTGTACGTCTCCTTAAGCTTCTCTACTCTTTCATTGGCCTTGGTCTCGTACTCAGCATGCTTGGCAGCCAAGGCAGCATCCTTCTCAGCAAGAGCTGCCTCGAGACGCTGTACCTTCTCCTCTAGCGTCTTCACTCTCTCGTCATCACTTGGCATAGAAGTTTGTGTTGGGAACTGAGACGCAGGCGTCGAATTGACGCCAGGCGTCTGCTCAACAGTGGGTGCAGTAGGTGCAGGTGCAGGTGCAGGTGCAGATGGTGCGGATGGACTTTCAGCCATCTTGGTCTTGAGCTCACTCAGCTCGTTCTTGGTTGTGTTCAGCTCCTCCTGGATGACCTCCTTCTCCTGCATCACGGCATTCAGTTCAAGTTGCTTAGCGTTGATGCGGCCTGTGAGTTCCTTAGATCTGGCTTTGAACTGTTCTGTGAGCTTTGTGCGCAGTTCTTGCGTCCTATCCTCAGCATGCTTGAGCTGCTCTGGGAAAGTCGCAGCTTGTGCCTGTAACGTGTCGCGAGCTGAAATAGCCTCGTCTCGTTCCTTCTCCAATGAGGCGAGCTTCTCCTTTAGTCCTTCCATCTCGGCCGGGTCAACGCGATCGTATTTCTGCAGGATGTTCTGTGTACGTTGTTGCCAGCGGTCCCGGTCAGCCTGCAGAAGCTTCATTTCTCCATCCTTCGTCTCCACAACGTTTTCCAGCTCCCTGATACGAGTCTCCAAAGGCTCAATCTGCTGCAAAAGTTCATCAACCCGCGTAGATTTCTCCGCGAGAGCAGTTTCAGCCTGCTTGACTTGGTTGCGCAGCGTAACGCTGCTCTCACGGAAAAGATTGAGTTCGTTCAATGTTTCCATGAGCTTATTATGGCTTAAAGCAGTGTGCTCACTATCCGCGGCTGCACGGCGTTGCTGCTCCAGCTTGAGACGAGCCTCATCCAGCTGAGACTGTGTGTAATCGAGCTGCTGGCGGAGACGCTTGGCCTCCTGTGTGGAGAGGTGATATTGCACATCAACAATCTCCTTCTCGCGCCGCAAGAATTTGATGACCTCCTGAAGACCCTCCAGATTTGGCGCTGTTGTTCCTTCATCCTGCTCACTTTCCGGAATGTTGGCGCGATCCTTCTGCAGCGCGGCGATCTGGCTGGAGATGCCTTCAAGCTGGGTATGCAGCAAGTTGTTTTGATGCAGTACTTCTTCACGACGCTTCTGTAATTCTGCAAGCTCACTTTCGTATCGTTCTTTGAGCTCACTCCAGCTTTCTTCTTTCTGAGCGAGGTCCTTCTTGTAGGTATCGGCCTGAGCTCGAGATTCGAGTAGCTCCAGCTTCAATTGATTGGCCTCCGCACGAACGGCTTGTAGGTTCTTCGCCGCCTCGGCATGCTTAAGCAATTCACTTTCGTAATTTTGCTGCGCGCGCTGGGCAATTTCTGCCTGGGCCTTAAGATCGTCCTGGTGGAATTGAGCCGCCGCAATTTGACGTTCGTTTTCTTCCTTCAGTCTTGTAATTTCGGCCTCCAAGGCAGCCTTCTGTTCCTCCAAGCGGCGTCCAGCTTCACCTTGTTCGTCCCGAAGTTTAGAAAGCTCGTTATTTGTCGTAGAAAGTTCCGATGAAATCTCCTCGATCCGTGCATCAAGATCCTGGATCCTCTTCTCCTTCTCCTCCACAAGACGTTCGGTCTCTTCCCTATATTGTTCTTGTGTCTCGGTGACTGACTGCAAGCGCTCCTCAGTCTCCTGGCTAATGGTCTTGTAAACTTCGACCTGCTCCTTAGCGTGCTCGAGTTCACCCTTAGCCAATTCTAAGTCACGCTTCAGTTCGGAAACCTGAATGCCTAGTTCTTGTTCGCGGGTCAAACCAGTATCCGGAACGCCTTCTTGTGCCGCCGCAGCTGCCTCGGCCGGGGCAGTTGCGATGCTTGGCCTGGATTGTACGACTTGTAGACGTTCTTCGGCACTCCGTAGCTCAACCGTCAACTCATCCACTCTGGTCTGCAAATGATCCCGAGTCGTCTTGGTGGCAACCAATTCCTCCCGAACAGAGC